GTCCATCGGAACCATTCCTCTGTAGCAGTATTTGCCGGTATAAGAGGGATTGGTGGCGGGATGATCTTCTCCAAGCATGATGCGTCGGGTTTGACTCTTGATCCCGTCGCATCCGATGACGGCACTATGGCTCGCTGACGTCCCATCCCCAAACTTCAAAAGGACACCATTGTCTCCAAGGTCGTCTATACCGTGTAAAGCCTTGCTGAATTGCGCTATTCCAGTCGGAAGGAGCTTGGCTATCTCATCAACAAGATGCGAGCGATTCACCATCCAGCTTCCTGGTTCGGGATGCTCCACAGAGCAGAGGTACGTCCCGGCAACGACACCACGGGCTCTGGCGGTCTCATCGGCGCTGTCCATCCCGACTCTAAAGTCGAACCAGATGTTTTCCTTGTCTGCGAAAATGTTTCTGTTCGCCCGAGCTTCAACTGCAGCCGCCAGTGGCTCCGATATCTTCGTAATTGCTCGTACTGCATTTGGTCCGAAGGCGACACCGGCTCCTATCTCGCCGAATTTTGGAGCATTCTCATACACAGTGACCGGGATTTTCGTGTGAGTTGTGATGTATAGGGCCAGGCAGAGGCCACCGATACCACCGCCAACGATGGCCAGACTGAGGTCTTTTTCTGGTGACATTGGATATCAAGCACGTATTCACTAAGCAAAGACAATGATGGGGCGTGGGGTAGATGTCAGGCCCAGAAGACGGATGACGCAGTGACTGAGATATGAGATCTGAGCTGACACAGATGCATTATACTAGATAATAGAATCCGATAAGGTTTCTTAATGCTTCAGCTAGTGACTGAAGGCGTCTGAATCTAGGTGCTGCATTCTATCAACCACTCGGTTGGGCATTAGCCAGAATGGCCCAGTTGTGACCATGTCCTATACAGTAAAGAATACAAAATTAGTACCCGGAATACGTGCTTGCTTGGACGCCTGGCAGAATGACCGAGAAACCGAGCTCCTGTAAGCCGCCATAGCGTGTCGGCCGAAAACTCCGGAGCTCAATCACGCCCCAGGCATGTGACCGAGCTGATACAATCTGCCAGGGTTGAGAAAGCAATCGGTCTTGGCATAATGACTGGAAAGCTTCGGGGAGGTCAATAGACAAGACATGAATAACGTCTTCTCAATGTTCACTTGAACTTTAACTCACACCGTCAAAAGAACACAGCACAACTCAATAGACCCAGCACAAGCCACTGCTATCACAAAACTTATCTACAATGTCTGCACAAATTGGGCTCTACTACCCAATCTTAAGGGACAAGTTTCAGCAAAACCTGTTGGCAGTGGCGGGATGGACAATTCTTTGCGCTTGCGCCTTCGGGGTTCTGCTTCTCTGGTCATTTGCAGTCGAGGTCAGAATGCCAAAACTTTCGATTGCATTGGAAGATGAGGTACCCGATCGACAGGAGCGAATTGATATTTTCATCAAAGACACAAGAAGGTTGTTCATCACAAGTTACAACAAAGTATGCTCATTTCTTTTGCGATTGTGATTAGCAACAACGGGGTTCCAAGCTGAATTTCTGACAACGATAAGTTCCAAAATCGGGTATTTGGGATAAACACGACTGAAGGTTAGTTGGAAAATACTAGGGGACATTCGCGAAATGTTCCCTGTCGTTGACAACTTTGCAGGCACGAACATCATTATACCCCTCGAGCTACTCCACGGACTAGGAAGCCACAAGTCCCTGAGTTTCGCTGCATTTCTCGAAGAAGAGGTACGTACCTGACATGAAATTCACTTATTCTCGTAACAGTGAAGAAGTCGTTTCTAACTCGCTGCTCAACCTTCTGGGGATGGTAGTTTAGTATGAAGAAGTATACTAAAGTTGGCAACCTCGATGAGAAACAAATCGCCATCGTAAACAAGAAGCTGAACCCGAGTCTTCGTGAGCAGTCCTCGGAAGTTATTGTTCCAAGACTCAATCATGCATCTAACTCTTCTCAGCGCAATATGTTCCAGTACTTATTGATTTGATACGCAGCCACTGGCCACTCGAAACCTATGGAGGTAAGTCTCGAATCCTTGAATTCTTCAGCCAAAGCAACCTAGCTCTCAGGCGTTTCTTGAAGACTTTTGGACTCCACCTAATAATGCTTTCACCTTTGGCAATACTTACTTTTTGAATAGTTCCCACAGTTGTCAAGCCGTGGCCACACGTTATGCGTCAGGTTTCTCGTGTCTCCGCAAGACTATTTCACAGCGCTGAGTCGGCGAACAATGATCAATGGCTGGATATTGCCAGCGAGCATGTTCATTCTGCTGTCGTTTGGACGGAAAATCTGAAGAAGTGGCCAGCAGCGCTGCGACCTTTTGTCCATCGATTTGTCAAGGGACGCGGAATCATGATGCAGCGCTTTGGCGAAGGCAAAGCTTTGGTAGCCAAGACTTTGCAAAGAAGAAGGCTGCCTGGAGGGAAGCCCCTGAGCAGTCCTCCCGCACTGCTGGACTATCTTGCCGACACGATTCTTGGCCCAGACGACGTGGAGGCGCACACAGTTGCTCAAATCAACTTGTGCGTAGCCGCCATTCAATCTATGGCTGCAACAGTCACCCAGTGTCTCATGGATCTTGCGACTTACCCGGAGTACATTTCTGAACTTCGTGATGAGATTGAAATGGTCCTGGCTCAAGGGAACGGGGTACTCAGCAAGCAATCATTGACGGATATGATGAAGCTGGATAGTGTCATCAAGGAAACTCAGCGATTGAACCCGCCGGATCTGGGTACGTACAAGTCCAACACAATACTACGGCAATGAGGGGACGTTTCAACTGACATCAACGAATCATAACAGCAAGCTTCCAGCGGAAGGTTATGTCGGACTTCACATTATCAAACGGCCTTCGCATCCCGAAAGGCGCACGCATCGCATTGCCGACTGGAGCCATCAACATGGACCAAGATCTGTTCCAGAATCCTGAGGTGTTTGATGGTCTCCGATTCTATCGAATGCGCGTCGCTAAAGAAGAGGCCCGAAGCAGCAATCGAATGGTGACAGTAGGTAAAAAGGACCTAACATGGGGTTATGGCAGGCATGCTTGTCCAGGCCGATACATTGCCGAGGTCGCCATGAAGCTTTTACTGATCGAGTATATCACGCGCTATGATATCCGGCTATCTGGGGATTTGAAGACGCGGCCGAAAAACATCGAGTTCGAGGGATTGGTAAGAACGACGCCTTGCCTTCTGCTATCGACGATCGGAATGCTAATGGTTTTCTAACGAGCGCAGGTTATTCCCGACCCCGACTGGGAGTTGCTGTTGACGAGTCGACTTACGAACGAGACTGCTTCAGATCGAGAGAGCTGAGTTAAAGTTATGTGATAGGTGTCATCATGGAGCACATGCAGTCGTGTAAGAGGAATTAACTTAATTTGGTGCATTCGGAATGGTAGATAGAAGTAGGCAGATTCGGTGTATCCATGTTTTGTTGTGTGCCATTTCAGTCATTGCATAAGTTGAACAAACCAAATTGTCAAATTCCAGTCGGTGTGCGTGATAGATTTCACATTAGTGGTGTAAGGTAGTCAAGAAATGTAGTGATCGGATAATGGTCAATTAGGAAGTAAGATGAATTGACAAAAAGCTTCTATTGCATGGACACACCGCCTGTCACAAACATGTACTCGCCGTTGATGAACCGTGATCGCTCCTCAGCTAAGAACGCAACTGCCCATGCGACATCTTCAACAGATGCCGCACCACCTTCCACCGGTGTATCTCTGATGAAGACTTCTCTCAATCCTTCCCATTCTTCGGGAGAGAAGTGCTCCAGAAAACTCTCTGTCAGTACGGGGCCTGGTGCAACCATGTTGACCGTGCAGCCGTACTTCGGTGGTAATTCCTTTGCCCAAACACGCAAGATTGCATCCAAAGCCCCTTTGGTCGCTGCGTAGATTCCTTGAGTCGGCTTCGGTACTCGGGACGCCGCTGACCCCACCATGATGATGCGGGAGCCGCCAATAGCACCAGACATGTTCGGAGGGTCGGCCGGTTTGTAAGGCGTGAGATGTGGGAGCGCTGCTTTGACCAGTGCGAAAGCGCCGCGTGCATTCAGGTTCATGGCTTGATCCCACATGCTCAAGTCAGTGTCCCAGAGGTGTGCAATGGGCACGTATCCGGCATTGCTCACGAGGATATCGATGTGACCGAACCTTGCCACAGCTTGGCGCACCAATTCTTCTGGCCCTTCATCCGCCGTGAGGTCGGCACAGACCGCGATCCAATCAGTTTGGAGTTTCGCTCCAGTAGCTTCGCATTCTTGCTTCAAAGAACCCCAAGGGTAGTTCAAAACGATGTTTGCTCCACGACTTGAGAGTTCCATTGCAATTCCAGCCCCAATGCCTTTTGACGAACCCGACACGAGGGCTACCTTGTTCGTCATCGTCCCCCGGGGTGGTATAGGCGCATGAACTGGTGGTGACATGGTCTGCGCGGGCGTTGAATTTAGCGAGAGTGTCTAGTATGGTAGGTTGAAACAAGTGGAGCAGGGAACCTAAGCTTCAGAAGCAAGAATGGAAGTAGGAATCTTGTCAACTTGATGGTTGTCAAATTCGCAGTGGAAGTAAGGGGGCCTCTACTTAGTAAGGTAAAGTACTTTGGTCATTGATATGTGCGTCCTGGTGGTTTGAGACCCATACTTCAGACGGATCTTCGGGATATATGCACCGAGAGTGGCCGAAATCAAATATCTCACCAAATCAACAGCTGTTCGTAGTTGAGACAAGAACTCGTCGAGCTCAGAATATTATCACATCCGTGGGTGTTTTTTCCATTCCCAAGACCCATTGGATCCAAGCGGACCAGAAAACCCAATGTAAATACTGCGCAACTAAGTAAGGTCCAATACGCGTGCTTCGTTTCTGAAACTGCTCTTGACACTGATAAAACCGCTGCATTCTTCTTACTATGGCCTAAGTTCTCCGAGTATTCTCCGTAGCCTCCTTTCTCAGTGCCTTGTTTGTGCCCTCAAATCTATGCCTCAATCGGCATGGTAGGGAAATCCTTGAGTCCCGGTAGATCTTCGTATCTCTTCGTGAAAAAGGCACGAGGAATATCCGGTCCCCAGCTGGAGACTGTAGCAGCAACAGCTGGCTCATTGGCATTTGGAGAGTCTTCGTTCACGAGGTCGCCGTCGACGTAATGCTCGACAACAAATCCAGAGGGATCAAACCTAGACAGGGATATTAGGGATGCCATGATCAAGGAAACATTTCAAGCTAAGACTCTTACCAGTAATCAAAGATCTGGCTGCCGAGGACATGTCTTCCCACGCCGAAAACGTTGATATGTCCCTTGCGGATCAAGTAGTGGTGGCCAACTACTTGGCTGTCAACATCATCTATCTCCCAGCTGCTATGATGAGCCTTGATTCCGTCGGTAACCTCGGGCGAACCAGCGATGAAGATGTTCTGCATTTTATATGTCAGCTCATACCAAATCTCAGAGCGTTCTGGGAGACACCAACATGATGATCGACGAACTCCTTGCCCTTGTCGAGATGAATGAAGATCATGATTGTCTTATTATTCTGGGGGTGGTAAAGGCAATCGGTCTTTTTGAAATTGAAAACCTTGCTATACCAGTCAAAGACCTCGTGCAGACGATCGATGTTGACTTCGAACCCGTAATGACCGAGCTTGTGTACTTTCGATGGTTGGTCTCGATCTGGTCGCTGGAACTCACCGAGCCTCTTCTTGTCCTCCCAGGTATTCCACATAACTGGCTTGGGAACCTCTCTAGGCTCGGGGACGCGGTCTTCTTGGCCGTAGATCAAAGTGATTGGCTCTCCTAGGAGATCCTTGACAATGACGACTTTCCCTCCACCTGGAGCATCATAGTCGGTGATCGGGGTAGATCCGGGGAGCTTCGCCGCCTTCTCTAGCTCAGCCATGGACTGCACAATCCAAGCGCCTCCCCTGAACTTCCTCATTCCGTCGTTCGTCTTTTCGGCAACGTAGCAAAACTGATCAATTCCGAATCCTCGTAGGTAGACCTTATCCTCGGTTTCCCGCACAGGTATCAAACCGAAGTCGGTATAGAACTCCTTTGCTTTCTGAATGTCGGGGTGGCCATAACGGACGTGAGAGAGACGATCGAGAAGGATGCGAGAATCAGCCGAATGTGGGGTCATCATGTGAACTGAATGCAGTGGTGACGATCAGTCTGAGAAGCAACGTAGCGGAGGGGTTGAATGTGAATATGAAAGTTTAATGATCACGCTTGTTGGAAGAGAATGGTAATTACTGGTATTTCCACGCTTCTTATTGCCTTCGCCCTCCGAATCCCCGAATTGGGGTAAACTGACTGGCGACTTAACTCCCGTGATCTCGGTGTAAGTTGCCGAAAGGCAAATCCTCGGCCGGCCATTCTCTCCGGCACAGTCCACCACTGCCGTCAACGCGCTGCGAGACCAGACTGCGTCGACGTAATGTCTCCCGTCCTACTAAGATATAATCTCACTCGACCGACGACAAAAATTATGTTTGCTTCAGAGCAGCCAGTAATCCACGCCCTCTTGTTTTCGGGTCACTCATCATCAAAACGAAGCCGGAAAAAAGACAATCTTCATCTCATTAAGTTGTCATGTCATTTGACAGATTGATACGATTTGAAGACGCGGAAGGCGTTGAGAGATATGGCAATATTGACAACAACGTTCCGGCATCGGAGCTGCTTGGAAAGACAGTGGAAGTAGTATTGGGTACTTTGGAGTCTGGCTTCAACGTATCTGATGATCAAGCCGTAGTCGGCAAAGTAGGACTGTCCAATCTCGAACTGAAGTTTACACAGACTAATCTCATTTACGTAGCTATTGTGTCCGCTGCCAAACACACCCCTCATTATCTGTGCTGGGGTCAATTACAAGTCTCATGCAAGCGAAACAAAGGTGAGAGTGATGCGACTGAACGTGAAAGGCTTCCAACCAAGCAGGCGCTAAGGATTACTTCTCAATTCAAAGTTCCAACCGCCCAAGAAGCCTGTAATTTTTGTTACCCCTCCCGACAGGCTTGCAGGACCGCTGGACGATATCAAGATCCATATAGACGCGCAGGAGCTACTTGATTACGAGGGTGAACTAAGCGTTGTGATCGCCAAAGATGGATTCGACATCAGCGAAGACGAGGCGCTGGATTACGTTCTTGGTTACACCGTAAGCAACGACGTGTCAGCGCGTAACCTTCACGCACTCGACGTCTCCGGATATCAAATGGGCTACGCAAAGTCTTTTGACGGATTCGGACCTATTGGACCCAGCCTAGTGTCCCCTAAGCTGATCCCCGACCCACAAAATCTGAAGCTCACGACCACTGTGAACGGCATCGTCCGTCAAAGCAGTGACACGTCTCAGATGATTTGGTCATGCCGCCAGCTCATCTCATTCGCGTCTCGCGGTCGCACGCTGCGTCGAGGAACGATCATTATGACCGGAACGCCGGAGGGCGTAGGATGGCACACCAATGGCTGCTTGAACGATGGTGATGTGGTTGAGGTCGAGATCGAGAAGCTGGGTCATATCAAGAACAAGATGGTCTTTCAAAAGAGCGACTAAAGTGCCGTCCGTCACAAACTTTAGGTCGAGAATCTTCTTTAAGTCTTCCAAAGACCACTATCTTTTAGCAAATGCATGTAGATGACATATAAAATCAAACGATGAACATCAGACTCGCATCTTCCATGATTTAACATATGCTCTGCAGACATATCTGGGAATACCTAGTGGCTCCTCTCTCTGGTCGCCGCATGCATTGCCCACCTCAGGCCATGCAACTGCCACATTCGCTCAGACCAATTTTTAGAACGACGCAGTCGCATCCTCGATTGTAGTGGAAGGCAATAATAATTCAAATCTCCACACATCCACGATTGATTCCTTACCCTTTCCCTTTCCGTTAGTCTCACCAGATAAGTGTGCAACAATTGGCACTGGAACCACATGCAGGGGTCACAAGTCTCTTTCTTTTCATCATTGATACTGTACTACGTAGTTAGCAGCGACTATGACAAGGGTTCCACATCCTTGTTGAATTCCATTTCGGCGCCGTGCTTCTCTTTTCGTTGACTGGTTAATGCGATTGACAAGGTACCGGCCTTCTCGGATTTCTCGGCCGAAGTTGCCGGTCACCTGTCGCTGCCCCGCTCCGTAAGTCCGGGCTCGGGTAAGTGAATTATCCCTAAATACATCTGCTTAAGAACTCCATCTCTAACGGTGACATTGTACTTCGAGGACGGACGGATTTTCGTTGTTAGCTTGACCAATCATAATTGACACCCGGTACGCGTCGCACAATGACAACAAGCCAAACTACGCCTCAAGCAACCGGCTCCATTCTGCTGAAAGGCGGCACCCTACTGTTTCACAATGAGCGAGATGATGTGACGCCTCTCAAGAACACCGACATACTTGTGCAAGGCAACCGTATTGCCAAGATTGGAAAAGCAATTGCACTCCCGGCAGGAGCCCAGCTCGTCGACTGCAGCGGCAAGATCATTAGCCCAGGTTTTGTTGACACCCACCACCACCTTTGGCAGACCCAGCTCAAGGGGTGCCATGCAGACCAATCAATCTTTGACTACGTTCCCTCTGGTAAGTTATTTTATGTCTATATCAACGAAGAATTATAGAGCAGCCTCGTTAACACAGCTCAGGTTATTGGCAAAGCCATGTCTATTCTCCCAAGGACATGTTCTGGGGCCAGTTGGGTGGCGCACTGGAAGCGATAGATGCTGGAACAACTTTCGTACTTGATCATGCTCATGGCAATCAAACCAATGACCATGGTAGGACTCTTTCGGCGAATGGAGGAGTTGTTTAGCAGAATAACATACTGATGAACTCATTACATAGCCACCCAAGCGCTATCAGCCACAATTGCTTCAGGCATTCGCTCAATTTTCGCCTACTCCCAAGCCCCATACTTCACGAAATGGGACTCTAAAACCTGCGAGCTATCAATGGATATCATGCCAGACTCAAGCATGGCGCATATCTTTGAGCTTGCAAAAGCACAGCCCTATGGAAACGGGAGGGTTCAAATCGGATTCGGATTCGACTACTGGTTTCTCCCCAAAGAGGCCATCGTAGGCATTTTCAACGGACTTCGCCATGCTGGTATCAAGCTTTTTACCTCTCACTACGCGAAAAATCCAACCTTTGGTACGTATGCTGGCGCTTGGCGTTACTATTTTCCCATGGATATGTGAAGTTCTGATTGGAAGCCAGGAGCAAACCCCCTGATCCACACCCTGGAGGCTTATGGTCTCATCAAGTCACCTAGTGACATCTTGCTCTCGCACGCCACAGGCCTTGATGCGAGCGAGAAAGCCAAACTGGCTGAAACCCAGGTTGCTGTGTCGAGCACTCCAGACACGGAAGCTCAGATGGGCTTCGGCTGGCCTCTTGCCTTCTCATCAGGCATTAACTACACGATCGGTGTCGATTGCCACACAAATAACACATCCTCAATCCTGTCTCTCGCTCGATCTGCTTTGCAGATGGCGCGCCAACGCGAGGCGATTGCGGAGACAAATGGTTCAGATGGCGCTCCTCAAAAACTGAATCTCCAGCCGGCGGGCAGCACCCAGGATGCTTTCAACGCAGCGACCATCAGAGGAGCGCGTGCGGTGCTTTTGGGGGACGAGATTGGGTCCCTAAAGGAGGGAAAGTTGGCTGACCTGGTCCTCTTTGATGCTGCCGGGAGTGTGACAATGAGTTGCGTAGCAGACTCGGATCCTTTGACTGCGGTTGTTCGTCACAGCGATATTCGAGATATCGAGGCTGTTCTCATAGACGGAGTCTGGAGGAAGCAAGGAGGCAAAGTCTGCCCAGTGACCGTTGCAGAGACAGGATCCACTTTGCAGTGGGCTGAAATCAGGGATAAGTTGCTTGAGAGCCAGCGGGAGATTCAGCAGCGACAGAAAAATTTGAATATGGAAAAGGCGAAGGAGGCTCTTGTTGCCATGTACCGGATCAACACAAACAACTTGATCGAGAAGCAAAAAAAAACTTAGGACTTTATCACGTACTAGTAACTTAGGAGAATGGCACTTGCTATACTTTTTCTTGTACATGCACGTTAATACAGTCTTGTAGCATACACCAGGGCTAATCCGTTGAATATCAAACTGCTTCTTCACACCTAGAAGCTACGCACCGTCGAAGTGCCGAACAGGCGTCGGGCAGGTCACATCTAGCCGGCCGAAAGAGCGAGGCGGCGCATCGACCCCGAGAGTCACGTAATGTAGGTAGCCTTCTCCCCGCAGAAGGTCTAACCTTGCTCAAAGTCGCGAGGGATATTAGAATGCAGCTGTCAGCCCCTTGACTCTACCATTCTGTTTGTCTTTGTTAATTATCGCTGTCCTCTTTTTACAATTCCAAATTCAAGCTCTTTCCAACACGCACAAAGATGGCTGTATCAGGAAGCAACGCAACCAAGACCGTTGCTTTGGCTGGGGTGAGTCATAACATGCTTTGATCAACGGTGATCACTTCAATCCCAGAGCAATCTACTGATTCGAAGAGCGTATTCGATCAGGCGAGCGGTAACTTGGGCCTTCGTATCCTAGAATCTCTGCTCGATGCAGGCTTCGATGTGACAGTCTTAATTCGCCGCGAAAGCGCCCCGATTGATTACCCTGTCAAAGCCCGAGTGGTGGAAGTCGACTATGATTCGTCCGAGTCACTTCAGAATGCTCTTGAGGGCACCGACGCTGTAGTTTCTGCAGTCGGCAAGCAGGATGGATTGCAGAGCCAGTTCAAACTCATCGATGCTGCGATCGCCGCTGGGGTAAAACGATTCATCCCGTCGGAGTTCGGTGCGGATCTCCAGAACCCTAAGATTCGTGCCTTTCCGACCTACCGAACGAAGGTAGAGGTCGAAGATTACCTGGAGAAGGAAGTCCGGGACACTGGATTGACTTACACCTACGTCTACAACAGCGTTTTGTTTGACGAAGGCCTGTCACTCGGGGCATTTGCGAACTTCTCGACCCGGACAGTGAACATCTTCGATGGCGGGGACACAACATTTTCTGCAACGAGGATCAAGACAGTCGCGCAGGCTGTTGCTGCTATCCTCAAGAACCTGGACGCAACTAAGAACAAGGCCGTTCGTATCCGAGACCTTGCGATGACCC